TGTCTGGCTGTAGGGGAAGGCCTGAAAACGGGAGGATGGGATGGAGCATCTCAGTTGAGGACATGGCTGGCTGGCTGGCTGGGCCTTGGGGCAGGAACTGAAAGCAGGGGGAATGGAATGGAGTATTTTGGAGAAGAGCAGGGCTGGCTGGCTGGCAGGCACCCTGAACAACTGGTTGTTGGGGTGGCGGAAACAGAAGGGGGGGCCAGAGGGAGAACAGAATGGAGTTTCCTGGAAGGGGGAACGGCTGGCACGGCATCTCGCTGACGCCTGTGGCAAACAGGGTTGGACCTTTGGTCCAATCTGGCAAAGCTCTTACGCAGCAACCTCCTCGGTCATTCTGGAGGAATGGAGAGGCAGGAAGAAACTTACCAGAGGTTTGACCAACATGGACAGAAAGCAGGGGTAGAAAAGCCCTTTCTTCTTGGCAGCCGGATTCCATTCCAAAGACGCTCTTGAGGGATGCATTCGGCTGGAGGGTGGGAACTTTTCCTTGAATGCTCTTGCAGCTAGTCCTGAAGATTTCCAGCTTCTAGAGTGGGGAAGGAACCAAGGTGGGGAAAGGCGGTGGCAGGGACCGGATAATGGGACCTGCTTCCGAATCCCTGATGGAGGCTGAGCTACTTTGAAAGTCTTGTGGGGGGGGGGGGGGGAGACAGCAGCAAGGAGAAACCCACACTCGGTTGATCGGAATCGAACTCTGGTCCTGTCCGCACTCTCCGTTTGATTTACTGGTCCCTGGCGGCCTTGTCCGCCCTTCAGACGGAGAACTATTTGAGACAGCTACCAAATGTTTTGTCTGACTTGGTGTGTTTTGCAGCTTGCTTACCGTTTAGTCAAAACTCTCCTCCTGCTTTGGAATTCGCGGCGTCCTGGCGCAATCCACTCCTCCTTGGCCTCCCTGCCCCGAACGCTGCAGCTTTCCTCGTAGCGTTGCAAGTCAGGCCAGAGGGCTCTTGGCGGGCCGTTGTTTGGGTTGGAAAGCCACGGAGCAGCGATGGCTGCAGCCAGATCCACCCGTTCGGGGACGCGAGGGGGATCTGTCCCTAAACGGCGCCCATGCTTCTCCAGCGCAGGGATCTGCTCCCCGAAGGCTTCGCCACTGCTGGGCCGCAGAGGAGGGCTGGACGGGGCAAAGGGGCACTTGGGGGCCAAGCGGAGAAGCGAGCCCTGCACCGTGGGTGGGGAACCTCTCCTGGCCCAAGGGCTCCGTTCCATTCCAGAGATACTCTTGGGAGTTGAATCCTGGCGGAAGGGCCTGGGCTGAAAGCACACAAAGACCACAAACTGCAGCTCAGACTCCTCGCAGAAGCACGTCTGCTTTTCAGAACGAGGGAAGCCCTGGATAAAAGCTGAGGAAGTGCCCAATGAACAGCGGAGCGGGTGTCCAGAGATGGCAGGAAGCTGGATCTGGGCTGAAGAACCCAGCCTTGTCCAAACACTCAGTCTTTGTGCTTGTTCTCTGATGTTTTGTTGGCAAGCTGGCTGGCTGGGGAGGAGGGGACTTGTAGTCCAGCACACCCAGAGGGCACCGGGCTGGGGATACAGCTAGAAATTAGGACTTGTAACCAGCAGTGGAAAGGGTCCGGATTGCTTAAGAGAGAGACTGTGCACGCCCCGGGCAAATTCCAGCTCCTCCGTTTCACCACCACTGTCGTCTGCCCCAGAGCAGAGGAGAGGAAGAAGCCGGTTGCCGTGAGGAAGAGGAGGAGCGGCTGCAGGGGGACCTTGTCCAAGGGCCCCTCCTGAAGCGCCGGCCCTTGGCAGGCGTCGGAAGGTGCCCCTCTCTTTTGCTCTCCATGCCGTAGCATGCTTTTCTTCTAGGGCACGGTGACTTACAAGCCAGGAATTGCGAGTCTGACCTGCCAGCAGGAGCTTTGGGCCGAGGCCCCTCCTGTCTCGCTAAACAACCCTTGTGCGGTTGTGTCATCCTGGATGGTCCTGCATGTGATAAAAGCAGAGTTATGTCTGTTCGAGCGCTTGCCAGGACAGACAGCGTGTTCTGACTCAGTTGTGTTCTGGTTTGTTTTTGTTTTCTTAAAAAAGCAGTAGAGAGGAAACATCCTTTCCCATCCTGTCCGCCGGCCAGAACACCGTCCTGCACTTACTGAGCTAGTCATGTGCTGGGCGAGCGGACAAGTCCGGCCAGCTCAGAGCATGAAAACAAAAGAACAGCCATGCTGGTCTGGCTTGCCGCTCACCCAGTGGCCAAGCAGCTGCTTTGGGAAGCTCCTGCCCACCCATGTTCCCCAGCAACTGGTGTCCATAGGCACACTGCCTCTGAGCCTGGAGGCAGCAAAAACCATGAGGACTAGGAGCTAACGATAGCCTGATCCTCCCAGAATAAGTTTTTTGAAAGCCTTCCGGATGGGCTCCCATCACTGCACCCAAGGCCCAGTGTGATGTAATGGTTATGGGTATTTTACTGGGGTTCGGGAGATCCGGGTTCAAGTCCCCTCTCGGCCACAAAGCCCACTGGGTGACTTTGGGCTAGTCACGGACTCTTCGCCTTGCCTACCTCACAGGGTTGTCGTGAGGATAAAATGGAGACACCTGTGTTCCTTGCAGGAGGAAAAGGGGTCCACGCCCTCCCTCTTGGGGGCTCTCCCACTCTTAAGGGCCATGGTTCAGCTCTGCAGCGCTGCCCCCCCCTGTGCAGAGGCAGTGAAGTCCGCTCCGCAGGGGTGTCGTCTGGCTTGGAAAGCCCCCGTGTGGTGTGTAACGGGCTGCTGGATGGCATAGCTTCTTCCCTCTGTATTTCTTTCCTGATCCAGGGAGGGAGCGAGGGCAGCAACAGTTATGTGGACCCCTAGCGATATATCTGTGTGTGCATTTGCGTTGTGTATGTGTGTTTGCTTGCACACCAGTCCTTTCCAAATGACTGCCGGCGTGTGGTATCTTACCCAGAGCCGGGGACGGTCTAAAAAGTTCTAAATAAATAAATAGGAAACGGGCCCGTGAGGGGAGGCGTCATCAACAAGTTCAGAATGATGCCCAGGCCTGAAAAAGTTGCTGGAGAGATGCTTTTCTTCCTCTGTCATGACGCTGGTGCCCAGCGGAGTCGTCTGAAGCAGACAGGGAGCGGATACAGGGAAGAGGAAGCCTGAGAAGGGATAGAGGAGGGGAGTAGGTGACTCAAGTCTCCATGCTAATAAAAGGGTCTTGGTGCTTTGACCCTGCCACCCCGGTTCCACTACAGGACTGCCTGGTCCCAGTAGCCTCGTGTAACTTATCTGGTAGACGTGTAATGGAAATTCGTGCATTTTCCTGCCCTAGATATCCCTGCTTCTATTCTTTTGCATTGTCTCTCTCGGATCGCTTTCTAATTGTAAGCTCCTTGGGGCTGAGAACCTGACAGACCTCTTCTTTGCAAAGCACCCATTGCACAGCCGGTGTTGTCATAATATCTCCAAACAGGAAAGTGCGCTGCTTCTCTCTCCCGTAATGCGAAAACCACCCTTTTGAAGCCTTGAGAAAACGGATCGGGGTTGCTGTGATATTTATGTAACAAGCTCTTGTCTGGATTTCTGTTCTCACCAGCTCCACGCCTTTGTTTCCAGCAGGCCTCCCGCTGCCTGTTAGCACTGAACTCTGACACAAATGTCCTGAGAACAGGGTGTTGTGTTTCTTTCGCCTCTTTTTTATTTTTTAAAGGAAGTCCGTTGGCCCTGATCCTAGCTCTGCAGCCGTCTCCTGGAGCGACACCGAAAACCTTCACTGACTATCTCTCCCGTGAGAGATTGGACCAGAGCGTTTTAGCAAACCGTAGACATGGCAAAATTTTGTGCATATTTGGGAGACGTTCCAGAGCGTATCTTTAAAAATAGAATGCAAAGCAAGCTCCAGGTTGAAAGGTCCTTGCTTAGGGGATGCAGGCATTCGCTCGAAATGGATTGGGCTCGGTCTGGAGGCACGCAGGCCCGTCCGGGTTTCCTTGGCAAGTGGATTTTGACCTGCTTGAGGCCAAGCAACATGCTTCCACTGTCCAGTTAAGGATGTGAGTTGTTGATCCGTGTTGAATCCAAGGCAGATTCCAATTCTTTCGCTAGGCTTCACACAATAGGTCCCATTGATCTATCGGGAGGAATCCTGGAAAAGGACTGAGCCAGCGATTGTTAGAACATAAGTTAAAGCCAAAGGCCTCCCTGGCCACTGTGCAAACAGAGAGCTGGCCCAGACAGATGCTCGTGGGAAGACAGAAGCAGGATGCTGGCTTGATAACTCCTTCCACTGCCTTGCCCAGCAGTGCCGGCTCCAAGCTTTTGGCCGCTGTCCCTCAACGAGGCTGCCTCCTCACCACGATGGTCCCACCTCATCCTCTCCCTGATCTTGGCTGCTACCGGCTTGCGTGAGTGGTGGAGTGGACAAGAGGGTGTACTGGGGAAATGGAAGAGCAAGGCCAGGGAAGCGCTCTCTTCCTCCTCCCGCCTCAGCTATTTTTCCTTGCGTGGGGGCACCTTTTCAGATTGTCCGCCTACAAGACTGGCTCCTTTCACAGATTATCCTTCGGCCTCTTTTGAGAGCTTTTGGGCTGAGGGGACACCTAAAAGTACTTCAAACAAATAAGGAAATCAGCCAGCCTGGAGCAATCCCTCCAGCCATCATTCCATAAATCAAATAGAACAAGTTTGCTACGGAAAGTGGTGATGGCTGCCAATCTGGATGGCCTTAAAGTGGGATTCGACATACCCATGAGGGAGGATGCGATCCGTGGCTACTAGCCTTGTTGGCTACGGGCTCCTTCTTTCACCAAAGGCGGCCTCCTGCGTACACCAGTTGCTGAGGATCTTGGGCAGACGGAGGCCTCGCATCCATCCTGCTTGAGCGATCCTGGGGGCAGAGTGCTGCGCCGGACGGGTCTGATCCAGCAGGACTTTTCTTACCTTCTTCTGAATTAGCCATCACATTACTGTTCAGTCCAATAGAAGAAATGTGAACGGTGCAGAGATGAGTGTGAATGAAAATATAGGTAAAGGTGTAATCTGCTGCAAGATTAGGTAGGGCAAGGACACCCAGCAGCCCCCAGGTGCAATTGCTCAAAGATTCGGGCTGGTGTTTGCAATGTGGTAGGACTTTTCCGTGCGAAGGTGCCAAGATGGCACCCCAAGGAAATGATCAACAGCGAGCGCCCGTGCCTCCTTCTCCAGGTGGCTTCCCACCCAGGTATCCCCTCCTCAGAGCGTTCCATGGAACACCAAGCCGAAAAACGGAAGAGGGGAGGCCACGAAAGAAAGGGGTATTTTTCTTTTATTTAGGGCGCTGCCAGTGAGCCGTTATCTGTCTAGACAGATGGTGTTCGCCTCTGAAACAGCCCTGGAATGTGAAACTATGTTTATTTGTGGTTGGCTGGGAGAGAAGAAGGAAAAAGTTGATGGAGGAAGTGAAGGATAAAATGGAAAAGGAGGGCACGGGAAGAGAGAAGGGGCAGCAAGAGGGAGAATTGGTTTCACCCTGGGACATAACAGGCAGTGGCGGTTGATTCCCCGTCCTCGTTGCATGACATTTATAGGCCACCTCTTCCTCATGCAAAGGACCCAAAGCAGCTTCTACGATCCGCTTTCTCTCCATGCTTTTCTCACAACAACCTTGTGAGGTAGGTCAGGCTGAGAGCCAAGTCACGCAGAGAGTTTCAGGCTGAGTGGGGGCTAGAAGCCGGACCCCCCCCCCCCCAGTCCATCATTTGTGGCCACTGTGCTGCCCTGGACTTGAATAGCACTGGGCCTGAGTGCCACAGGCTGTGTCTCTTTCCAGGGGGCGAGACGGATATAGAAGAAGAGGGTTGCAAAGGGCTCTGAGGCTGCCCCACCTTGCAGGGAGGTCGTTGGGATCAGATGCGGGAGGGGAGCTGGTCATGTTCCCTTGAGCTCTGTGAAGGAAGTGCAAGAGAACAGTGCAAGAGCTACGTGAAAATGTCAGGAGCTGAACAGGAATTTGCGTGGAAGCAAGACAGATTGAATCACATTTGTTTTTCCTGGAAAATAAGTCCAGTCATACAGACTAGCAAAGGCAGGATCCTTGCAGTCCTGGTGAGTAGTTTGTTCTTTCCCAAAACTGGTAAGTACCATTTTTAGATTTTAAGCCAACTGAATTGGGCCGGCTATGTTGTGTGGCTAAAAGGAGGAAATAAAAATGAGCTTGGGTTCTTCTCTTCCTCCTTCAATTCATGAACGACCTGACTGTTGTACAATAAGCTGGATCCATCTTTCCCTACTGGTGCCTGTAGAAGCTTTGGACTACAGCCTTCCAGCATTCTTGACCACTGGCCATGCAAACTGGGGCAATAACTTGTTCCCATAGATAAGATTCTAGTCCTCATGGTTCTGTATAAAGGGCTAATTTAAACAGGAACATAGAAAAGCTGCCATACAGATTCAGACCCTTGGTCTGTCTAGCCCGGGCTGGTCTATATCTGGCTTCTCCAACCGGCTGCTTTCCAGAAGTTTGGGGCTGCAACCGCCATGGGCCCTGCAGGCTGGGGCTCCTGGGCATCGCCGCGCTAAACTGCAGCTGCCTCTCCGGTCCAGCTGTTTTCCTCCCTCCGGCGTGTGCTGCGCATTTTGCACAGCAGCGGTGCCTCCGGTTCGCTCTCGGTGGCTGGGTGGGTTTCAGCCGCGCCGCTCGCGCAGGGTGACTCTCCAGGAAGCCGCAGCAGCGTCTCCAGAATTTCCCTCCCTCGCTGGCAGCCGGAGGAGCGGGTTGGGGCAGCTCTGGCATGCGGGATCCGGGAAGGGAGGCGGCGTGTGCGGCAGCCCGCAAAGGATCCGGAGAGCACCTGGCTCGGGGTGGGGGCAGCCGCGTCCTGCGCAGAACAATAGCCTGGGATGAGACCGCCTGACCTTTACCCTGTCTTGTTCTCACAACCTGAGAGCTTTCCCAGCCCAGCTCCCACATTCCCCTGCAGGAAGTGCTTTTTCTTTTTTCCGTTCGGATGTATGAAATGTGGGAAGCAGGCTGGAGCTGGGGGCCGGAGCCACAGGCCTCTGGACGGGGCCGAATTGAGAATTTTTGCCCCCCCCCCCCCCGGGGACCAGTCACTCCAGGTGTCCCCTGCCTCCGTGACCTGGCCTTCCCACCAGCTGCGGTCCCTCCGCCACTCAGCTCGCTTTGGCTTGGCAGGGCACCTCGTCCCTTTGGCTTGGCAGGGCACCTCGTCCCTTTGTGTGTCCACCACTCTTGGGACCTAAGCCTGTCCTGAGAAGACAATCCTTCTTGCTCTCCATTGTCCTTCTCTGAATGTGTGCCAATTTATCTCAAATCTTTCTCAAAGGGTGGTGTCTGAAATCGCTTTCTGGAGCCGTACCGAAATCTTGCAGCCTCCAGCTTCTTCGCGAGTTAATACATTCCTGTCTGAACCCTGCCAAGCTAACAAACCATGGTGAACAACCCAGAGTTTTTATTTAAAATCTATTTATTTAAAATATTTATATCCCATCCTATATGCGGGGCATCTCAGGACGGCTTACAAAAACCAAACAATCGATTCATAATCAAAACAACAATTAACATAACTAAAAATGGACACGAAGCCGACAGAAACATATTGCCCATGAGAACAACACCCAAACCAAAATCAAGATCGTAATCGTCACAAAATCGAAACCAAAATGCAACTGCGGGTACTTAAAAACCGGTTAAAATTCCTAGTTTTCAAAATAACGGGCAAATAAAAAGAGTTTGCCGACAACCCACCCTCGAGCCACGCTCTGCCCTTGACCGTAGGGTTCAGATTGTCCGAACACTTTCACCATGAACCGATCTGGCCCGGTCTTTGCATGCCTCGATTTTGCGGCGCTTTGCAAACGAAGGCGCCTCCAGAGCACGTCCGCTCTTTCCCTTCATTTTGCCCTCCTCTGTGAGGAAGAAAGGATGAAAAAGGAATAGCCCTCGTGGCAAAGCAGGATCGATTTTCCTTACGACATCCAAGCTTGCGGCAAGCTGGACTGTCCTGCGGGTGTCGGCAGGCAGGTGTGCCAGTAAAAACAGCCCGTGAGCGAGGAGGGGAATGCCTACCCAGCCGGCCACGAGGCGGTCATTCTCCAGTTGTTCGCATCAAACAATGCCTAGGGATGAGTAATCCCTTCTCGTTCCCACTGGATGAGAACGCTTTCCCATTTGAGGATGTTTTCCTCGAAAAAGGGCTGATTTAAGCAACCCCTAAGCTGCCAGCCAGGCAGACTAATCCATCAAGTGCAAACTTACCTTCTGTATTACCTAGCAGGTTTCTGGAATTTTAGGCAAAGGCCTTTTCCAGCCCAACTTGGAGATGCTGGGAATTGAACTTGTGGGTTTTTGGGAAAGTATCTCTTCTACCACTGGCCTGCGTTCCTTTTGACCTAGCTGGGCATAATGTCACTCGCCTCTATGCCCTCACGATTTCCAAGGAATGCCAAGAATTCCCTGGAACACAGTTTGAATGAAATGAGCACGTCAGTGGAAGATGGCAGCTCCCTTAAATCTGTCTTGGTCTGGCCTAAATAGCCAAAGCCGAGGTCACATAATAGCAGGGCAGGAAAAGCCATGGGCCGCTTTTCCTATGCGCTTTTGCAGGAAAAGCCGGGCCACCGGGAAGGATCAATGGCAGCTCCATCTGGGACTGTTTAGCTTAGGAGAAGAGCACATATGAACGGAGAATTTTTTCTTAGTACCTCATCTTGCTTTCATGGTTTTATTTTGGGCCTTTCCCTGATTATGTTTTATTGGCCTGGGTAGGAGCTGCAATTGTGTTTTGTAGGTTTGGGCTTTTGCTTTGAATACGGATATCCTGCACCTGATATGAACTAGGCTGCACTTAGAATTCGGTGTGTCGTTCTGGTCACCACACCGAAAGAAAAGGATATTTCAGGGTTGGGGAAAGTGCAGGATCTGGTGATGGGAATGATTAAGGCGCTGGAACAGTTTCCTGGTGGGGTTAAGGGTTAGGGATCGTTTAGATTAGAAAGAAGCCTGGAAGGGAGACAAGAGAAAGCTTAGGTGATGCATGGTACCACCCCATGAAGATCCAGGACAGACAAAAGAAAGGACTTCACTTCTGCAGGAGGTTGTGACAGCTGCCAACATGGATGACTTTAAAAGGGGATTGGACCTGTTCCTGGAGGAGCAGGTCTATTCTATTCTACAAGGCTATTCTACTAGTCCTCATGACTTTATGCTACCGTCAGCATCAGAGGCAGTGTGCCTGTGTGTGCCAGCTGCTGGGGAACATGGGCACCCCAGTGCAGGGTGCTCCTGACCTGCATGTAAAGCAAAGTGCTGGGCTGGAACCTGTGTCTGACCCAAGACGGCTGTTCTTTCACTCTTAGGATGGGCAACCCATTTGGAATAGATGCTCGCCTCACATTTTCCTTGGGTTTGGGCCACGGCCTCTGGTAAAAAGACCGGAAAAACCGGGCTGCACCTGCTCCTACACACAGCATTGCAAGGAAGTGACTTGGACCTGGGAACATTCCTTGCGGAAAAATCTCCTGCTGGGGTTTGGGGGAGACTTTCCCCCAATTTTCTTGCAATCTAAGCCTTTTTGGGGAGCAGAGAGGCATTCTGTTCCTCGCTGCAGCGAAGGCAGCTTGGCTCTAATTAGGTGATACAATTTCTTCAGATGAAGTCTGGCTCTGAGGGGGATATTAAGTTTTACAGTGCCCCGTGTGAGCCGGTGTGTTTTGTGTATCTCGTTGCCTAGCAGCACAAAACCACATGGATGTGAGAGACTGTTTTATGACCAGGCTGAGCTGTTCTTGGACGGCCGACAGCAAGCAGTATTCCGACCGAGCTGGAGCCTCTTTGCCTTTGGAGTGTGCGTGTGCTTTTCCTTTTCCACTGAGCAAGTGTGAAAGTGATTAGATGCGTGTCCCTTGGAGGATTTGGCAGCATCCCCTGTCGGAGGCCTACTGGACAGAATCTCGTTTTTGCTGCGTCGAAAGGCTACTTAGCCGTCCCGGATTTTGCTCTGAACTTGAAAGCAACTGTGTGTGGTGGCAAACCCAGCTGCAAACTAGGGAACATGGCTGGCTCCTCCAAATTCAGCGTAAGAGCTGGAGGGCTACATAGCCCCGCTGATGTTGAGGGTGATGCCCAAGGTTGGCATCCAAGCGTCACGGGTGTTGCTTTAGCTTAGCAAATTTTTAGGCCCCGCTTCTTGGTACCGGCCGTGGTGCTCAGAGGGCAGTTTGGACTCCGCTACCCTTGTGTGGGCGCCACTGAAAACTTTCCCCCCAACACTCAGTGCAGAAGTGGCCACCCCGAGAGGGTTCCTGCGACTGTGTGTCTTCTCCCTGTGAGAAGTGCCATTCCACGATTCCCATCAGACATTTCCTCTGAAATCTACCCTGGGCTTTTCCTTCAACCATCATTTCCCCCTACTGCTTGGCCACCGTTTGAATCTCCTATCATCCCCAATGACGCATGGGGCATGCTCTGTGGTACATCTCAATTTCGAGTTGTTTTGTATTTGAAAAACACAAGAGTAAAAGAGGCAAGAGACAAAACACAAAGTAAGTATTTATTTTTATTTCGTTTTTATGCAGCCCCAATAGCTGAGGCTCTCTGGGCAGTTAGGAAAGAACATTAAAAGCCCTTTCAGATCATCCTAAGAGCCAGTGTAATGTAGTGGTTTAGTGCTGGACTGGGACTCCGGAGATCCGAGTTCAAGTCTTCCCTCAGCCATGAAACTTGCTGGGTGACTTCCACCCAGTCACTGCCTCTCGGCCTCACCCACCTCGCAGGGCTGTTGTTGTGACCTTGGAAGCCATGTTGGATTCTCATCGCAACCTACCTCGCAGGCTGGTTGTGAAGCGGTGGAGGAGAGGAGGAAACTAGGGTGCCATCAGCATACGTCGTATTTTGGCATTGCTGGTCTTCTCCCCACCTGGCCCTTCTGTGCTACCCATTAAACCTCTTCTTCCAGGTCACTTTTGCAACTCGGAGGACAAACCAGTGGTGTTCTTTCCTTGCTTGGGAACGACCCTGCTTGTTCTGCCAGGCGAACCGTGATAGGATACCGAAAGCGCAGCAAGCAGAGTTTTTCGCCTAGAAGAACAGCATACTTTCGAGCGTCTTCTTCCTTCTGGCACAAGTTGCCTCGGCTTTGTAATTTCTGTTCCTAAGCTCAGACTTGAGGAAACATCTTTTTTCGCCGTTTTTGGAGGCGTTTGGTTAAAGCACCGCTGGTTGGGAAAGGAGAAAAGCGGGGTGTCCACATCGAAAATCTTTTGCTTCCGATGCCCCTCGCCACGTGGGCACCACCCAAGCCAGGGAGGCTTGTGTGGCCCGTAGACAAGCTGGGAATCCCCTTTCTCGAAAAGCAAAGGAGCGGCGGCATGGAAAATGCGCTCCAGTCGCAGAGACGAGAGCTGAACCCACTTCAAACAAAATCCATTTGTACTGTTTAAGTAGATTCCATAGGTTGGAGCACGTGTGTGTGTGTGTGTGTGTGTGTGTGAATGCGCCTGCTTTCTACATCTCATTTAGCAAAGAGTTTGGTCTCCTTCCGGGTAGATTAAAAAGAGGAGTAATTGTAGCACAAACTTGCAAACTGGAGCCTCGCAGGAGGGTGGTTGTGTTTCGCGACCCAGATCTCATTTCTGCTAACTTGAAATGTGCCTGTTGTGTTAAAATCCACACCATGTCTGATTAGCTAGCGAAACATTTTGTGTGAAGTGCAGAATCCGGAAGTCCACGTCGCCTTCTTTCACCTCCACCTGAGGGCCATTCGATGGTTTCCCTGCAGCTTGTTGAGTGTTTTTCTCCTACTCTGAAGGACGGAAATGTCTGTGCCAGACATAGCTGCTGGCCGTAAGACCTTAAAGCTACATTTGCCTGTTTTTTTTGTTTTTTTGTTAGATACGCAACTGTCACTTTTAGATAAAGGTTGGTATTCACAGCTTTCATTTACACAATTTTTGCAAAGGAAAATATTTACACTCGTTTCAAATACAAAAGAGAGGCAAAAACACAAACATACAGTAAATATGGATTTCATTTTTGTACAACCCCAATAGCTGAGGCTCTCTGGGCAGTTAGGAGAGAACTTTTAAAACCCTTTCAGATCATCCTAAGACCCAGTGTAACATTGTGGTTTGGGTGTTTTAAAGAATTTAATTCCTAGTTTTAAAGAGATGCTGTTCCAAGATTTTAATAATTTGTTAAAAATAATCAAACCAGTCAGTCCTAGAGGAGATCCACCCTGACTGCTCTTTAGAAGGCCAGATAGTGAAGATGAAACTCCAATACTTTGGCCACCTAATGAGAAGGAAGGACTCCCTGGAGAAGAGCCTGATGCTGGGAACAATTGAAGGGAAAAGAAGAAGGGGACGGCAGAGGATGAGGTGGCTGGATGGAAACACTGAAGCAGTTGGCCTGAGCTTGAGTGGACTCCGGGGGACGGTGGAGGACAGGAGGGCCTGGAGGAGTGTTGTCCATGGGGTCGCGATGGGTCAGACATGACTTCAAGACTAACAACACCAACAAAAATAAGCTGTCGCTAGCAATATATACGTTTCAGTCAGCCATATCTTTCTTTTCTGTAACTTTTACCAAGGTTTTCCAAATAAGTTCATTGTCCATCATTTCTCTCCAGCCAGGAAGAACATCTGAATGTGATGCCTTTTTTTTCTTATTTCCAACACGAACGAGTCCATCAAGAGAGCCTTCTTGGTGGTGGCACCACAGCTGGGGAATACCGCCTCCTTGGAGGCCTGTCTGGCTGGCACCAGCCTTGCAAATCTTTAGGAAGCCGCTCAAAACCATCCAAATTGCGTAGGCTTTTGAACCGGTTGGCTGATGCATTTCCTACCTCCCATTTATACGCACAGGCAAAGCGGAAGGGTTCTCCAATCAGCCACCGGGCCGAACGCAAGCGGGGCTGCATCTCTCTGCGCAAGCACCTTCAGCACGTCTGATTCCCTCAAAGCGCAGGTGCTTTGTTTCCCCTCTTGCTGCTCCAAGGCTTCACTCCCAACGTTGCTTCCCTCCCTCTATGAGTGCCCTCCGTTTTCAGGGTGCTTGCCTTCCCCCCGTTCCCAAGCAGCCCCTTGGAGCAGCTTCCTGCCGGAGGTGCAGGCGGACGGGATGGGCCGGTGGCTAATTCCGCCGCCGTGTGCTGGCAGGCCGTGTGGCTCGCCTCAGAACTGCCGGATGGTTTTGTGGAGAGGCGTGCGGGCCGCAGATGCACAAGACCACACGAGACAGAGCACAGGCGCAGGTGTGCACACGGGCTCCCCGAGTCTGCTCTTGCACGCGTTGGCGTGGTGCTCAGAGCTGGGACTCGGGGAGGTGGACGATTTGGATTTGCGAAGGATGTTCCTGCCAGCTGCCATCCCACGGAGGCTTCCCTGTTCCCCCTGAACGTTCCCGCAGTCCTCTGAGATTCCCAGCAGCCGTGTGCTGAGGGGAGCTATCTGGGCTGTAACGCAACATGTTGTAGGGATGACTCGGTCTTGAGTGGGCCAGGAAGGGCCGCTGATGTTGGCACGGAGCTGCACAAGACTCGTGCGGCGGCACGGACAGGCATCAGCACAGCTGTGTGTGTTTCTGGACTCTGTTTGGGGCTGTAAGTAAGGGAAAGGTTAGGAAGGATCCTGGCCCGTCAGAACTTACTCAACTTCAACACTCAGTTGGGCCCTAGACAAAAGGACTTCTCTGGGAAGCTGGGAGGAAGAGTCCGGTGTCCTGTTTCCAGAACTAAGGAAGGTGGCAGAAGATTCTGGGCCAAAAGATGCTCCCAGACGGAGCCAGATGTCTGGCCAGGGGCAAAATGTTGGCTTGGGCAGAGCCCGATGCAAGGGGGCTCGTGTGGCACCCCATAAGTTCTAGATATAGGCTGACCTTTCCATATGGGGGCAAAATCTCCCAGGATTTTATCACAAAACTAGCTGGTGGAGGGTCTCCAAGGCCTACTGAAAGGAAATTCGTTTATTAGCATGTCTTGCACATGGAGAAAGATGACCAAGACTAGAAAATAGCAATTAGCACATGGTCCGCCAAGGCACATATTTCTGCGTCTCTGAACCATCCAGAAGTCCTGATGGAACCACCCAGGGAGGTCCCTGTGGGTCTGACATGACCCACATACCCCGTCGCTGCTGTAAGGGTGGGCATTCAGTTCACACCGGGTGTTTCCAGGCAGGACACAATGTGCTTTGCGTGGTTTCTTGGGATTCTTCTGTGGGACAAGAAGCCCAACTCGCAAAGAAGAGAGCATGCTTTGGACACAGCAAGTCCACCTTTCTTTATTCATCAGCTGTATTTATATAGGGTGTCTCCTCTGAACAGATGTAATCCTGAAGCGGTTTACGGAAAGATACGCAACAGGCTCCTGCTGGAGATGGCTTCCTAAGTGTTCAGAGCTTCCAAGGAGGTGCCAAAAGAAACAGAGATGTTTTCATGAGCGTTGATGCATCTCAAAGAAGAGATCCGTCTTCAGGGTGCCAAAACAGGCCTCCTCCTAGCCAGGTATTATCACATGCCAGGTGCACAGCATCTTTCCGAGAGGTTATCTAGTGCCGGCACCACTGGAAAGAATTTGCTGCTGGCAAAGGCAGGGCTGTTGTCTGTTCGTGCGACTTCCCCGTGACTCTGGATCCATCATTCCAGGCAAGGGCAAGAGGACTCACTAATTGCTACAGGCTCTGATAGCGATCGGCAGGCTGCTCCCAGTCATTTCAGTGCAGGCTACTGGTCTGACTGTCTTTCCTGCCAGCTCAACACCACCGCTCTGCAGAAGGAGAAGGGAGAGGTTTGGAGCAGGGAGCATCTGCCCTGCATTTCTGTCTCTGGCGCCCTGTAAGGGCCTTGCTTTAAGCGAATGCACTGATCTTTTCAAAGGAAACCATTTCCGATATTTATAGACCACCCTGTAGCAAAAGTTTTCTTTTTCTTTTTCAAAAGGAGTCTTAGAAGCTATTTGCCGGGAAAGCAGAGAATGGCAACGTATTGTTTTCAAACTCCCAAAATTTGGGAATAGACTATTTTAGGAATAGACTATTTTCAGGTGGAGAATTTTGCAGTTAGACCGAAACTAGTATTAGTGTTCATATTACCCCATTGGTGTTCCCCCTGGCCCTTTCTCTGACCCCACTGCCAATGTTTTGAGGCTATCCTAGCTTTTTTTTTTTTTTTTGATGGGGGGGGGTCCTGCTGCTTCTTCAGTTTAGTTCTTGTACAAAGAGCTTTAAGCTAAAATATGAGGGTGGATTTTTCTAGCGTATAGAAAAGCCATTCAAATGGGAAGCAGGATGAGTGCATTCCAAATGGAAGACCTCACTGTCATGTGCTAAAAATTCCCCAAGCTTTTTGCTGCTGAGGATAGTGGGAATTGTGCTCCAGTAAAAGTCAGTTCAAGCATCCGTGGCGGAGCGTGTGAGCCCCCGTCCCTGCTTGCCGGCACCCGAATTTCCGCAGAGAAAGTCCTGCTACTTTGCATGGCAAATTCCGCTCCCCAGAAAATGGAGCCTCCGAGGAAGGTAGGTAAGCAGGGACTCCGGGGATCAGACCCGCGACGTTCTGCAGGGCGAAACCTGCGCTTGCCACAGCAAGCCACAAACCCTTCGAAGCCGCGCTTGAGCCTGGCTTCGCTTAATCAGCACAGATGTTTCCAGTAAGTGCAAACCTCAGCATCTCACACGCTTTCTCCGAGACAGACAGACTGACTAAGCGACCCCGACCACAAGTTGCGGCAGGCCCGGATGGAGGAGGAACATCTGCCTTCGGTCTCCTTGGAGCAGGGCACGGGGACGGGTGCTTGTGTTCCTGTCTGTGTCTTCGGCCGCCGCATTGGGAAGCTGCGTGGCTGCAAAGTGCCGAGGGGGTGGCCCCGGGCCAAGGTCAACCTGACCCCACAGGCTGCATCTTTGCAGAGCCGTGCTTCCGAGGACTCAGACACGAGGGCCGGCTCGCTTGGGCCAAAGCCCCACCTAATCCGGTATCCTGTTTCCAAAAGCAACTTGTGGGCAAACACGCAAGCAGACAATAAAAGCAACAGGCCTGCATGTTTCCATTGCTTCATCCCACCCAGCACAGGTAGGCAATTTTAGGCTTCGGACTCAATGGCCTTGCTTCAGCAGGCAGAAACTGAAAGGCAGACTGGAGGCACCCAGACATCTGCCCCAAAGTCCTGCCATGATGGCACCGCCATTCCAGAAACTGGACACAAACCAGTTGGACACAAACCGTGCTCAGCCTTTGTAACAGCCCAACAGCAGCGTCCTTTTTCGGCTTCTTCTGCAAACGGTTGGGAGAAGCAGGATGTTGCCCTGGGAGGATTTTGGTCCGAGGCCGCAGGGCTCCGACTTTTCTCTGCGCGACGCCCTTCGGACGCAGCCGCGGCCCGGGCTCCTCCAGCACTTCCTAAGGAAGCCTGCTGGCCCGCTGCTGGGGAACATGGGGGCTGAGGCAGCACCTGCCCGGCTGTGCAGAGGAAGAGGGCTTGGAGGAAGGAGAGGCGTGGGGGAGAGCACAAAGGAAGAATGCCGCAGCATGAGGGGACTCGTTTCCTGGACTCGGAGACCTCTGGCTGACGTCTGGGGTGAGTAATGCACAGGCAGCGGTGACACCAGCCGCGGGCCTATTTATAGCCGGAAAGCGAGGACCGTTTAAATCTGCGACAAGGCCAATGTCACCGGCACAGACAGGAAAAAGGGAAATTTCCAAGGGGGCATCCGTTGTTCATTCGAGGCCTGGCTGGGGTTCTGCTTAGAGTGGCAGAAGGAGCCGGTGGGGTGGTCCTCAGACAGGTGACACGGGGATGCCCTGCAAATTTGCCCTCCTGAGCAGCACACCCGGCGATGAGGGGAAGGCTCTCTGTGCATGCTCAGAGGCAACATGAGCAGTTGCCCCCTGGCTCACTCTTCCAACTGGGATTGGTCGATAGGTTGTGGATACACAGTAATGAGGGAAGGTCAGTTTGTGTGTGCTCTGAGGCACCAGCAGCCTCGTGCTGAGATGGATTAGGTCTCCGTTTCC